TTGTCAGGTTTGCCAGTGTGCCCTGCCCCATTTGTGTGGTTGTTTCCCTGTTGCTGCTGCTGGTTCTTCTACAAGCCAAAAAAGATTCACACGTAGGTATGTTGTCAGTGCTGTAACCATATTCTGATCAGATTTTTCCCATTACCAATCTCTTTACAATCATGAAATGACCTCCTTGTCTTTATTTAGAAACTATGTTGCACATGGATGTCTTACTTTGTCTGCCTTGTCCTCTGGCTCCTCCTCTGTAAGGAACTCTCTCTTGGGGTAGGGAATCTGGCAGCCTGCAAACACACTGGCGAAAAATGCAAAGATGCTTGTCACCTTGTTGCCTCAGAGCTAATTAGCTAAGGGACCTGTTCAACATAGCCAACATCCTTAAAAAGATGGGTTAATGGTATGGTTGTCAAAGGTCCAGTGACAGACCACTAAAGATAGTGGATGATAACTACGAAGCAGGACAGAGAACTCACTGCAGCTCACTGATGTATTGAAGTGTGTTCCCTTGTTGAGCTGTTTCCTGTTAGTAACTTAACATGAATCTAACCTTATCCTAGCCCTGACCCCTGAGGGGGGCACTAAGGGAAGCAGTGTTTAACGGGGGAGAAACATCTTGGCGGGGGAAAGCACTGACACAATACCAGCATTTTATGGTATTTCCCCCCTTATGAACAACTACTTTTGTTCCTTGATAAAAGCTTTGTCAGTGTGATTGATTTGATCAACTATAAATGATAAACTACAGGCATTTTGAGAGCTTGTGATAGTACTGCCCATGTAGAAAATCATAAGGATGTCTGGCTGTGCATGTGTGTGCTGTGACTCACTCAGAAGTGGGCAAGGGTTCCTCCAAAAAGTAAGGATCCTGCATGGCCTGCTCAGATGTGATTCTACGGATGGGGTCCATGGTCAACAACTTCTGCAGCTTTAATGAATTGCACATAATGTTAGCCTCAAAAATAAACCAATAACAGGCACAATGACAAAGCATGCTTCATTTGTTGCAGCCAATTTATAGCTGCATGGCTATTATGCATCCTAATAGTACAGTAACTATACATTTTGCACATTACAGGTAATACCTGTTTTACTGAGGCATTTGAACTCACCAAGTGGAATGCTTTGCTGTCTGGTTTGACTTTATGTTTTTCCATGTATTTAATAAGGCTGCAGTTTGTGTATCTGTAACAGAGGAGCAAATTATATTAATATGGTGCCCTCAAAGCAATGGCCCCATGTAAGGACATTCAGACTCGTTACGTAATTGTTGTGCACGTTGCTTTGCGCTGACTTTTGTTTCAGATCTTCCCCTCCCAGAAAACTGGGACAGTGGTGCTCTGCGGACTCACGTGTTTCTCCTGAAGTCTTTCATCAGTGTGGAGTGTTCTGGCATCTTTTTGATGTCTTCCCAGTCTTTATCTGTCAAATGAGGGAAACACAGGATTATACCACATCACACCCTTCCTCCCTTCAGAAACAGATTATTTAGGGTTTGTAGTCTGGATTGCAAACCTTTTGAGCAGAAATAACACTAAAGTTAAAAACTTTTAAGTACACTGTTTATATATATACAGTGCCTCGCAAAAGTATTCACACCCCTTGAATTTTTCCACATTTTGTCACATTACAACCACAAACTTAAATGTATTTTATTGGGATTTTATGTGATTAGACCAACACAAAGTATCACATAATTGTGAAGTGGAAGGAAAATGATACGTGGTGTTCAAGATTTTTTACAAATAAAAATCTGAAAAGTGTGGCGTCCATATGTATTCAGCCTCCTTTGCTCTCATATCCCTAAATAAAATCCAGTGCAACCAACTGCCTTCAGAAGTCACCTAATTAGTAAATAGAGTCCACCTGTGTGTAATTCAATCTCAGTATAAATACAGCTGTTCTGTGATGGCCTCAGAGGTTTGTTAGAGAACAAACCGCATCATGAAGACTAAGGAACCCACCAGACAGATCAGGGATAAAGTTGTGGAGAAGTTTAAAGCAGGATTAGGTTATACAAAAACATAACCCAAGCACTGAACATCTCATGGAGCACTGTTCAATCCATCATCCAAAAATGGAAAGCATATGGCACAACTGCAAACCTACCAAGACATGGCCATCCATCTAAACTGACGGGCCGGACAAGGAGAGCATTAACCAGAGAAGCAACCAAGAGGCCCATGGTAAGTCTGGAGGAGCTGTAGAGATCCACAGCTCAGGTGGGACAATCTGTCCACAGGACAACTATTAGTTGTGTACTCCACAAATCTGGCTTTTATGGAAGAGTGGCAAGAAGAA